CTTCACTCACGCGTTGTGCAATTGCACTGCAACTATTGGTGCGACTACAGATAAACTGTACGAGTAGACCTAATCTGTAACGGAACATAATAGGAAAAGAATCGTGTCTAAAAAATTTAATTTTTTAGTCATCATCAGACAGATTGTCAAGAAGAATCGAGAAGGTACTGAAACCACCTGATGCATTGCCAGTTAACGTAAAAGAAGGATTTCAATTCGTATGCCTGTTTTTATACACAGTACACACTTTTTTTAACAAGATTTCGATTAGGATTCTTGCAAATTTTTTTAATGCACTTCATATTGGCAGATTTGCGACGATGCTAAGTTAGGATTTTATACAACCTATAAAAAGGGGCACATGGGCATTGCAGATTTTACAATTCCGTGTAAGGTCAGCACAATCACTGTCGGTCAAATGGACACTCTCTGCCTGACTCTTCCGAAGGGCAGCCAGTACACTTCAATCATAAATTACTAGTTAGTATTTATCAGATGTTTTACTCGCTTTCCTTCTGTTCTCTAACAATATAATTAAAAAACATTCATCGTTACTTTGTAGTCTTCAGAAGATTATACATTCGGGTCTGACGAGTTCGCGGAAAATCTCTATGAATTATGAGGAGACCAAATTTGAACCGGTCGGAATCTTTAGCGTTGCGTCTGCGTTAATAATATTCGCAGGTGGTGCCGTGTTCGCACTGATCATACTTATTGTAGAATTGTGTTACAGTGAAATACATGCACGCGATGTTAATTAACTTCAAATAGTGATGTTCTTAATAAAGAGATACCGAGCACTAATTTTATGCGTTTTTCCTTTATCTCCTTATACCTCCGAATTGCGTATATTGCGTGTTCTCGGTTAAATGTAACACGTTTTTACGAAATGAATGTTACAGTCTAACGTTAACACTCGTAAAAGCGTCCACTAAATCATTTCCCGATTTCCCGATACAAATGCATGCAGACGTTGCAACGCGTATTACAGCTGTCGATGTTAATCTTCGTATACACATAAAGCACATAATTGTGCAGTTGATGCATTCGTTGGGACATTAATGTACCTAATGAGATACGATCCCTGTCCCTTGATCCGTAAACTCGATAAATCATAACAGCCGCAGTTAGAGTTTCTTTATGCTTTATTTTAGTTACACTAGTCACCATTGGGAGCGAGCAAGTGCTGAGAAAGAGAATCGAGCAAATTGTAAAAATTCGCATGGGAATGGATGAATCGGTGGAAACAGAAAGTTATTAAATACTGCTTCTACTATTGCATTAATCATCAATCGATTTGATGATCGTTTATATTCGATGCGAGATGGCACAGATGATTCGTTGCGTTATCATCGCATTGCTGCTTTTGCCAGTGCCAGGTTTCGTGACGGATGTAAATGACGCTCACAGTTATACTCTCCTTATTAAGGATGTTCGTAACTATTACGGGACAAGTTGCATCGTAATTGTGCATTCGGATAACAGTACCGGTGAGTCTTGTTCACTCTTCTCGAAAACTGTGCGTGTGAAAGTAGTGGGATTAACTGTATTACTTGAATTAATTCATGTGAACGCGTAGTCAATACTGCACCGTTATATTTCCAACTCGGAATACTTTCTTCGCCGGTCAGATCGCTCGCCAGAAAGAGGTGAGAGCGGAACAATTATTCTTGCAGATTTCAATTACGCGTCGCTGACTTACATATGGACTCGCGCTTTCTCGCAACAAGGCATCTTGACGATGGTCGTAAGCTTCTCCAGGATGTCACGCGAGACCAAGAAATACAGGGACTTCGTGATGCGTCCGCTGTACGTCGTTATTCTCACTACGAACGAGACCATGAACGAATTTTCGACGGTGTCTAGACAGATCGATATCTCTTTCCCCGCCTGGCTGGTGTTATTTCTACCATCCTACGGAAATCCTATGTGGAACTTTTGCATGAATCCCGTCGGGAATCCGTTCGGTCTCAAACTGAACACGGAGATGCTTGTGCTCTGCTATGACGCGCCCGTTTTGAAAGAATGGTACGCGTTACGCGACAACCAAACCAAGACTTTTAGTTTGGCCACCTGGAAACCCGGAGAAAGGTTGAGATTGACGACGAAACTTGGATTGTACGCGAGAAGGAGTAACATGTTCGGGGAAACGATACGCGTATCGATCGTCGAGGTTGGCATTTCGCAAGAATTTTTCTCGCGTCCTCGTGCTTATGATCTACGTATTGAAATTTAAGGAATCTTTGTTCGTCGAGTTCAAAGACGGTGTTCTATCGCGGCTCTACGGCAGTGTGTTAGAAGAACTGAGTAAAATGATGAACTTCACGATCGAAGTGACGAGCTTTATGTCGATGTACGGCAGTTGGAGCGAGGAGGAAAGGATGTGGACAGGGGTGATAGGCGACGTAGCGTCAAACAAGGTGGACCTTGGGCTCGGGGAGTTCAGCATGACCAGTCATAGGATGGAGGCAGTGGATTTCACTTTGCCCTTACTCATGTCGCGCAATAGAATATACTTTAAGAAACCTGGTACTTCGACGGTGCAATGGTCCGCCTACTTTAAGGTTCTCTTCCTCGACAAAATATGTCACTCGTTCGATTTTTAGTACGAAACTCCCCGGTTGCTGGTGCCTTACGCGATAACGCTTTCAGATCTTTCACGAGAACGTTTGGATGGCGATAATATGTTTAGCTGTGTTCACTCCGATTCCACTGACTTTAATGAAGACCAAAGGTCGTATCGCAATTAATGTTTTAGCGGACAATTATGTATACGTGTGGGGAATCTATTGCCAGCAAGGTTTATCAGGTACTCTTACGATAAAAGTACACTGAGAAATTGTTATGTCAAACTTATTGCGTTACAGACTTTCCGAGGGAAACGTCGATGAGATTGGCTTACTTGTCGATTTTCGTCTCAGCTTTGATCGTTCTATCCGCTTACTCTGCTTCATTGATCAGTTTTCTAACAGTATCCACTTACAAGTTACCATTTTCTACTATAGAGGAGTTCGCTGCGCACGGGTCGTACAAGTTGATCGTGTTTAAAAATAGTGCCGACTATGATATGATAATTGTAAGAAAATATTCATCAATGCTAAAAAAATGACAAACAGTACAGGAAATATGATTTCAGTCGAGCGAGAATACCATACTTGCAAAGATGAAGAGACTGTTGAAGAAGAATCATGATTTACCTTTAACGGCTGAAGATGGTTTTGCTACGGTTCGAATTTCAATTCGAATTGTGAGTAATCAATTGTGTTTTTAATTAACTTTCATTGACGGTCGTAGGTTTGTACCGAAAAAGTGGGATTCTACGTAACTGAAGCTATAAAAGACGCAATGGGCAGAATACCGTGTGACACCGTTTTCATTGAGGCGGGCGAAGTTGATAGTTTATCGATGGTCTTGAACAAGGGCAGTCAGTATACACAATTTGTGAATTATAAGTAAATACTCCTTTGTGATCGTAATTAATATTATCTTTAGGCCCATTTTACCTAATAATAACTCTATTAAATCCAGTTTGCAGCGATACAAGGATGTTGGTGTGTTAAACAAATTAAAGTCTACTTTTCTCGTTACGAACTACCATGAGGATTATCCTGTTGTTACTTTGGATCGAATTACACCCATTTTATCCATTTTGGTTGGTGGCATGCTTTTAGGATGTCTTGTATTAGCAGTAGAGAAAATATACTACAAATATTTATGCAAGTACAAACGATCCTTACGGTTCAGTGTGGATTTAAACAGAAATAAAAAATGATGTTGAAATGTCACGAATTTTTCTTCAATATTCCCACGTATATTCCCTCACGTCTTTCATAACATTTTTAGAGTTACGTTCATAGAAAGAAGCGATGACAATAATGTACGATCGTTTGTTGGCTTTTATTAGAACAGCCGCGTTAATTTGGCACGTACATTTCCAGTCTCGGCGTATGCGAAATCACTTTCACTTTATACCGGAGTAACATCGGCAGACGGCGAGCAATTGGTTGCAAATTTCCGCATATCGTTTCTCCCGCGCATATTTCAGTGAGATTCCACGAGCCTTTCAATCACTGTTCCCTTTTGTTGCGCTAATCACCGCAGTAACCGATTCGTATTAATTCATGCCATAAATAATGGAATTCAATTTTGTAACCTCTGAGGCCTGTTACGCGTTCTGGGAAAAATTAACGAACATCACGATCCTCGGCTACGACGTTTAAGACCGGTAACCCCGGCTAACTAATGCAACAAGTAATTGGGTAGCAACGATAAATATTTGACTAACAGTATAACGTACAGTTTGAGTAATAACTATAATTGACGAATGATCGTGTTATCAGGGAAGACCTCGAGTTCCTATGAAATGCTTGACCCGCGACCTTTGAAGAAGTTCACCCACGTGAATAGCTTCCCACGTGAATGTCTACCGACAGACGAAAATACTGTAATCTCTTGTTGCTTTTCCCTTATCCTTCAATCCTGTCAAAGGCAGACGTCTACATTCAAATAAGAGAATTATGCTCTCACTACGGCATAACATTTGCCCGTGAGAAATGCATGCTTCTTATAAGTAAGCGTATGTTTCATACTTATGGAAGAATGTCCTTTGAAACTGTAATTTACCACCTTCTTTTATTACGACATTTAAAAAGGAACGAATGGTACATAATTCACTTTCGTCGTAAATGACAATGAGAGCGAAAACGACGCAGGTAAAAAGTTAAGTCGGTGGAGCGCTTCGGCTCGCGAGGTAAATAAAAGTACACGGTCAGCGATAGGAAGTTAAATAGGTTCGCAGGTAGCGAGTTGGCACGGGCAGCGACCGGATACAGACGAGCACGCTCTTCGTTTCCGTTTTCCAGTACGGCAGGAAGTAACCTTTGGCTCATTAGAAAAAAGCTGCACGCGCCCACGAACAATTCTGCTCCGTGGATCTTCAGGTACGACAGGTATCCCTAGGGGCTGATCGAATCTCGACATATCAACAGACCGAAACGGCAGCGGGTTGTGTTTCGTTTCGTATTTACTGTTACTGCGACGATAGCTCGGTGCTCACATTTCAGGGAAACCGCGGAACGTGCCGTTTTCGTTCGCGGTTTAGATGACGTGACGTTAATCTCGAGCGATCTTCTTCTCTGATCTCATCTCTCGAAACGATCTGGTCGCCGTTGCTTCCACTTTTTTTTCCCCTTATCGATGAAAAGAACCGGACAACCTTGGCATCGGCGTGCAAAATGCGCTTCGACAGGAATCGACCGCCTTCGAGGTGACTAATGCCGACAACGAGTATATTATAATCGAAGGCGACAGCGGACTCGGAGCGAATTTTCGATGCCCGATGCACGCGATATCACGAAAGACATATGCAAGTCCGTGGCTATCCGTCGTGCCGCGATCGGCGTCGGCTCCGTCCCAGACAGACCGGGCGACCTCGAATTTACCGATTTGCATGCGCCGCATACGCGAACGATGGATAGTAATCGACGATCAAATCTATTGCTATGGAATTTTAAAAACGTGTCTATTCGCAGCGTTCGGTCTCGGCGTGCACGCGGCAGTCATTTCTGTCAGGTTGTGTCATCTTTGGGCTTGTCCAGAATGCCATTATCATCCCGCCATCCAGACTGGCTACGCCACTTCTACCCGTAAACAATGATAGCGGCGAACGATTGCGAACCAGGAAACAATAATGCTCGCCGATAATGACTATTGTCAAAGCTCGGAACAATGATCCACGGTGACGGGTGCGATTCGCTGAAAGTTTCAGGAGAAATGAAACCGCACGGAGCGTGTCGGTGGCGTAACTATACTGGCGCGGTCTATTGTAACCAGAATTAAATCATAATGTCCCGAGAACAAACGGAATTAAGATTTATCCTTTTGTTACGTTGATGCATTAGACAATATTTTAGACACGATTGTCACGCGTGTAACTCATTGCCGAGAGTGACCCTTGATTCATGTTTGAACTCGCTCGCACAGGGACAATCGCCAGTAGGTAAGCCTCTCGAAGAACAACTTTATCGAGAAACTGGTAATAAAGATACGTCCAGTCAACCCGTCTCGTAAATCCGGTGTTGCGACTACCTGAGAGCTCATTACCGCGTTCGGGAGCGTGGGTGGCTATTAACACCGTGCGTTGGTTCATTGCCGCTTGGTAACGCCGTGATACTCGATAGAGAAACGCGTCGTTGTAGTTACGGTCAGGTAGATCGAAATCGAGAAGAGTTAACAGTGATGCATGGATCGACGACCGCGTGGGACTTCCCAGAATCGCGTTCTCCTTCGATTCGGGATCATCGATTGTACTTAGGCAGCCTCGTATCCCGCGTTAATATGGGCAATAGTCGACAACGAGAGGACGATGCGTTGAACGTCGTCTCAAGAGCTGAAGCTTGTTCGCGACGAGGCCTCTTCGCTGTCGCGAAGGACGAGCAAGTAAATTTGACAGTTGGCGGGCATCTGGCCTGTCCTTTCTTCTTCGACGTCTACCCACGTAGATACGCGTGTTCTTACGTACATATACCGGGTGTCGCGTGGGTGTCAGCTCGTGCTCCACGCGTGCACGTAGTGGGGATCCTCCGGTACTCGACACTGGCTCGCATGGAAAGGAAAGGAAAAGAGTGGCGTACCTACAGCTGTGCCGTAAACGCGATTATGTTTCGTCGCTGGCAAACCCATTCAGTGCTCCTTACGGCACGAAGGAACTTGGTACTGCCGCTGCAGCCGTCTCCGGTGACTCTCAGTGGTCCGAGCTGTGTTCACGGGGAAGAGGAAACCGCGCGTGGACCGAATCAGATCGGGCCGCGATCTCGTGTACTCCGTTCCAGTTCGATCTCGCATTTGTTTTCGATTTGAAAAACCCGCGAATACTGTTTCCGTAACACCGGGTGGTTTCGTGCCAATTGTTCGGACGCGTTGCGTGTGAATATTATTCTTAGTACATGAAGCGTTACGCGATGGAGATCGAAGTTCGTACAAAAAATTAATCGACGGTGCACGCATACGGTGCAGCTGTTGGTTCGTGGGACCATCGAAGCATTCGGGTGAGTTATATGATAAAGCCGACTCGACTTTAGGATCGTCGTTTAGGTAACGATAGATACGGATGAAAACGTCGCGTGTAAGAAAAATTATAAATAAACGATATTAATGGTCTTGTCCTTGCGAGGCGTCAATTATAGAACGGCTTTCCGATTAGTCGCTGTCGAACGCGGAATTTCCTGTTCGCAATTTGCTTCGTAAAAGGCGTTTCTTACGAATACAGAGGGGTGGCTAATATTTATATCGTACAGGAAGCCTTGAAACTTTATCAACGGCTTGGCGTAAAAATAGAATGTTTCCTGGGATGCTCGTCGGTTCTCATCCTTTTACATGGTCTAGTTTACCGTGGAGGGCTGTCACTAATCGAAGGAAGCGGATCCGCTAAGTTCTCAACATAAATATGTATATCGAGCTATCTCTGTTTCACGAGAAACCGGGAAAACGCGAAGGGTTATTGAAGAGAACCGTGCAATTACGCTCCATCCGGCTCCACGAGCCGGTTGCCCGATACGTGGACAATTAATCACTAATTGACAATGGGGAATGTTAGATAGCCAAAGAAGGAGTTACGAAACTCCGCTGTGCATAATATCATTTAAGATTCGATTCGTACGAAACGGTGATTACGCGAGCCACGAGACTCGAACGAGGATAGAACTCGACGACGAAGAGGAGAACTGATACATCACACGCATCCTAGTGAAATGCATACGCCTTATTCTTTTCATAGAAAATGCATGAACAGTTTTTGTTTCAGAGTTAACGAGACACGGAGAACGAGAATAGCAGAAGTTTCCGTTATTAGGATTCTACGAGGGGGCGGGATAACAAGTGCAAAGGAGTATCGAAGACAACCGAGTTGCATAGCGTGTTACCAGCGTTACACTCTCTCCATTATCATTACCGGCATCCTTGCGTCGTAAAACGTCATCCATGGGGGAAACGGTACGTAAATTATTATGGTTTTCCTGTCGTGTGCACACGAACGGGTCCACGACTATCGCAACGGAAACGGGGAGATAAACTTCGCTCTGTCAATGGGCCGTCGTATCTATAAACACTTTTTCGGAGGCGCGGGTTGAAAAGCTCTCGGTTAAAAGAAAAAGCGGTGGGAGCTCGTGCAGCGTAACTAATTGATGGACAGATCCGCAAAAGCGGTCGTAATAAGTTACCGTGAACGAAATTATAAATTCAAGTAGCGCGTTCGGACACGAATCGAAACAGAGAACGTACCGTTGTTGCGTGACGCGTTTCGCGAAATGAACGCTGTTCGTTGTAACCGGAAGAAGCTCCTAACGACGGCTCTTAAATAACGATTTCTCTCGATGCGTACCAAAACCACAGGAGCTGATGAGCGTCCGAGTGTCGTAACTCGTCCAGTCTCGCGAAGCAACTTTTCTTTTTTAACTGTGAACCGCAGAAATCTATGCGCTCGGTAATGCATGCTGTTTCGAATGCACACGGGGTAACCGGAGAAACGATATCAATCGCAATCGAATCGCAGTTAACTAGAAGCTCGCAGGTAACGACGTCAGCTTCGTTTACCCGCGGCAACCACAAAACCGCGCGAACGCGACGCACAGGATCTCTGATCGTTAAGCCGATCGTGTAACGAGGTAGTAAAGTATGTCCGTGTAGGAATCGAAGGATGATCGCCGCGTTCGTTCCGCGGTTACAGAGACAAAACGTCGAGCGTTACATAACGGATCACGAGCGAAGCGAAGATATTCCCGGCATAACAATTGCCAGCGTATCGACGCGATCCAAACGTACGCGACGGGGGCGCGGGGCGGCGTGGCGCACGATCGATCCTAATGGAAGCGAGCGAAACTATCGTACCTATACAACAACCGTTCCGAATGATCGATCTCGGCGTCCATTTACGGGCCGCGCGATCGTCACCCCCGACAACCCATCTCGCGTAATTAGAATGCAGCGATTAAAATACAGGTAGATACATGCCAGCCAGTCGTTGGTATTAGCGTCGTGACACCTACATGTCGATGTTGCGCGTGTCGCAAGATCGCCGGGTCACTGCCTACATGGTGACACCCACCGACTTCTTGCGGACCGGAGCCTTCGCGGTGAATAATTCTCTTGATTGTAATTTGCGTCGATTAACGGTTACGCGAAGTCCGATTCTTGCGTGTAGCGAGAACAGAACGTTGCAGGAACCACGCCCGGACGGGGATAATAAAACGTGCATTGATTTCCATTGGAATTAACCGATCGATCGATTCCGTTGATGGTAGCTCCGACGATTGAGGAAGTTGCAGAATTCCAGGACGATGATCTATCGCTAAGAACCGATCTGCTCGTTCGTGTGAATCCATTGGAAATACATAACTGTGTGTTTACCTCCTTTGTCGTAAATCGATGATCAAATGCGTTTTTAAAATTACACAATTCCTGCTCGTTTTCTGAGACGACGACGGTGAGAACGTTCGCTGATACACTGAACCCGCGTTTTCCAGGATAGGGACACGTACGCGGGGATGACTTTCCAATGATCGCAAAAAGTGGATCGCAGTAGCTGACAGTGGAAGCGGAACCGCGGTGGGAAACGATGGTTTACAGAGGCAGTTTACAGACGGATGATCCCAGGGATGCACCGAAGCTGGTCAGGATGTCGCCGCTCCGAACCAGCAGGCCGAGCAATCCCGTGTCCAATCCACGATCAGCCACCACCGTCAATAGCCCGGTGTATCATGGCCCGTTTGTCCCAGCAATCGACGTTCATCGGGCGAGATTGATCGATGAAAGACGTTTGCCCCGTGGGAGGGATATCGAATCTATGGAGAAGGTTATCATGAGGACCACTGGAGTGAAGGTCGCGCCGAGATTAAGAAACATCAGTCAGATACGGGACACGGTGTTTGTCGACTCTTCTCTGATACCAATGGAGAAGATCGGTCGACCGGAGAGGGACCGACCGAGAACAATCAACGTAGACGGTTCCATCAGGGCGGGCAGAGCGGCGAGCTCCATGCTTGCTGATCTGAAGGATCTGGAGAGACTGCGGAACACTCCGCCAGCTCAGAGGTGTCCCAGGCTCGCGACCAAGAATGAAACGAGGTCTTCGACGCCTGGCAAGAAGACGGAGGTTACCAGCTCGGCGAAGATTCGATCGGATATTCTCAAGATACAGCAGATGTTCCAAACTCCTGATAGCTCCCCAAGGGCCGTGGTGAAGTGTACGAACGAGAGGAGGACAGAGAAGAGAAACGAGCCCGAGAGACACGAGAAGAAACCCGGCACGGAAATTAATAAAACGAGATTACTTGCTCAGAAGCTGTTGGAGGCTTCTAGGAATAACCGGGAGTCGCTGAAGGATCGGTACAATCCGAGGAACGCGAGGGATGCTAGGGAAACGAACGGCAGGGTGTCGGGTAAACCTTTGCAAAGAAGCAGCGTGGATTCTAAGCAATCGAAGAAGGGAAAAAGTGTAATAGAGGAAGTTCATCCACAGCCTCCAGTACGGAAGAGAAGAGAATCGAAGAACAGACAGAACGGGTCCGTCAGTGACGCTGAAAAGAATGACGATATTAAAGAATACTCAAAGACTATAGAGAAAGATATTGAAACTCCGTCCAAACGAAACGACTCCTCGCATTCCGCTGACACAATGGAGGAATCGAACATGAAGATAAAGGAGCTCGACAGACCGGACATCCTGAACGGATTGTTGAAGGAAACTGATCAGCAATTGGCTGATTTGAAGTCCGATTTGCATGACAGAGGAAGATCACGGAGTCATTGGAGAGGATTCGTACAATCAATGAGACTGCACGACGTTGAGCTTCACTCGGATAGCGAAGATCAGAAAAAGGGTGAGTCAATCGTTTGCTTCTTAAATCAAGTATAGTATAGAAAAATGTTCAGTAAAGAGCGAGCGAGTGATACGAATGTCTTGGATCACTGTGAACATTTACAATCTTTTTGGCCATCGTAAATCACAGCTCGAATCAAGCTTGATTGTTCCATTCAGCCCGTTTGAAACTGTTTTTTATCGTCTACGAAAGAAGCACTCGCAGTTCGTGTATGATACCGATCAACGCACACGAACGGCGGTGTCGAGCGTTAAGTGAGATTTATTGAAATATCTGCTGGCCATTTCGATGACCCCCGCTGGTTGTCGATCCTCGTTTAAAGGCCAGATTGGATTAGCAACGTTTGCCGGAGTGTTTAAAATTACAACCGGCGGTGGCCATTAATCCCTTAGCCCGAGGCACCCCTATTTTTAGTCAACCCGGGCCGTCTCCCTTCCTCGCTTGTGCCGGTCGCTAGTGCAGGTCAGGGTAACAACATATGTCCCAACATATGTGATTCAGTCAGCTAGTAGGAACGAGGCATGCGTTGGCCTCTTCACTTTTGTAACACATTGAACGAGAAGCTTTCTAACGTTGTTCCACTTTATTGTTCAAATTGATCGTTTCGTCGTTGGAAACGCATAATTCGTCGTGAAACGAGCCACGTAACTCTCGAGAGCGAAATTTCGAATTTGTCGAGCATCGTCGATGAGCGTGACTCGTATCGCCGAGTCGGTACGCCGAGTTTTACGCGCGATTAAAGGCGATTTTCCTCCATTCTCACGCCACGAATCCAGCGAGACTATCTAATTTCTCTTCGGCGAGGCGTCGATCGTACCAGTCCGTTTACTTTGATTTCGTGATGAAAGCGTCGGGCGGCGCCCGACTAGCCTAAGCGCTGGTTCGCTTTTCCCATTACGTGTACAGCGATGCTTATCGTCTGATTATCTTCTTTACACGTGGATTTATCCTATCTCTACCGGCGTGTGTATTTGGTAGATGCACGAGAGTTTTATTTATCTGAGCTGGTATTTCTGTCCGAAAACGTTTTACGTCGGAACAATTTCGTAAAACTAACCAGTTTTAGGAAACAGACAGTTTTAAACTTCTCGAGTAATACAATTACACGACAATTAATTCGACTGTTAACTGGGACAAACTGTTTGCAACCGAAGTTTGTTGCTATTTCCCTTACCTTGAGCCGTTTAAGATATTTATAACAGTGATTACGCAAAAAGTTGTGTTAATCGTACAACATGTCTTGCGTAGATTTCGCCTTGCGTCATAATCGCGAGGAATGCTGTACGATAAACTTTTATGAAACATCCATCATATGGAAATCACGCCTGTCTGGGAAATTGTCCGTTTTTCCTATATCAAACATTCCTACGCGTCGAATCGAGGCCCTCGAAATTTTCCACGAATTCATAGGGGCTTTCCTTGGGTGCGTACGGGTCGTAATGCAAAAAACGTTCCATAACCATCGGCTGCCGTGGACAGATTATAAATCCTCGTCGACCGGAAGAACGCAGAAGACCTCCAGAGAACAATGAGCGGCGTATTCGATAAGGATTCCATTGGCGATCGATCGGCAGTTGCATCGATGATGCATCGCAGCGATGCACTCGAAACGTCCAGGCTTCCCAATTGTACGGGTGACGACACAAACGAACCGATGCGACACATGGACGATATCAGAGGCGGTGTCGGCCCTTGCCCTTGAGTCTACGCCCTAATATTGATCTGGCGTCCTTCCTGCCCCTCCATGGTGGCCCATGGTGTGCGTACAATGAAACGCAGCCTTGTTCCCCTCCCTCTGCAGCCCGCAGGCCCATCGTGGCCCCGTGAGCGTGAGTACACTGTCCGACGTATGGGCCGATGCTCGCTCTTCAGTGCAAATCTAGCTGTCAAACCGCCAACACTTTTCATACACCGATCGAACCTCGGATAATATCGCGTGCACTGATACCCATTCACCCTGCCACCCCCTTCTCGTCGTTCTATTTTCTCTTGCTCATCCTCGTCGATGCATTCTGCGGTTTCGGATTCCCGTGACCACCGATCCTCGCCTCATCTAAGACGTCCTTTTATTTCACCGCTCGTTTACCCGTTCCTCGACCTCACCCCGTGTCGTTCCTGTCCTCACCGCGAATCGGCATACGTGCAAGCTCCACCGAGCAGACCGGTCATACATTATCGAACTTAGTCGATACGCGTGCGGCGGCGTTCCTCGTCGTCTTCTTCCTCTTCGTCTCCCGTTCCGGGCTGTCGTCGACGTGCCGAGCAACGTCCTCCGGGCGTGCCAAGTCGTTCAGTGCGGACACGTTCACGCGGTCGGATGCACACGCGATTCTATACATCCACGAAATGGTACTCTGCGACGTCTGCGACAACAAAGGTGAGAGATTTAATAAATAAGCTCGGCGGGCATTTCGTTGCCAATTATTATAGAACTGTTATTATAGTCTATCGTGATTTCGTCACCGGCATTCAGAGTTTCGGGGCATCGTTGTAGGTCGCAACGAGAACAACGTGATATCGATCGATAAGGAATCCCTCGTATGTGGCACGTCTTGTTACGAACGGATATATTTATCGCTCGATAGTCGTTCGGCGAAAGGTGAGAGAAATCCGTGGTAAACCTCGTGGTAAATGCCTGACATTTTCACCTCGCCGGCGTCGCATGCAACCATCCGCGTTTACTCGATCCTAGAGACTCCTCACGTTTGATACTTCACTTTTTATCTGCTTTTACCGGATTACTTACACCAAACGCCGCTTCAAATGTCAAATCCTTTATATGTATATCAACTCTATATCAAATTCATTTATCAGTTTTCTTTTTTGGAAATTGTCTATGAAACGCGACTTGTTCTTTCGGATATTTTTTATCAGGAATTTTCGATTGTGAGATTATTCAATGCGAGCAGACTCGAAAAATTCCACCGTCGCGCTATTGTATGCACATGATCGGCTACGGCGTAAATTCCGTTCGGAGAAGAGTCCGATTAAAACGGCAGACTAAGCAGCTCTGGAGATTACGAGGACCCTACTCGGTGTAAACAAGCCTCGTTATGTGCTTAATTACGAGCACTCAAACCGTATTGCACAGGGTGGGCGAGTGCGCGCACTCGCTCGCCTCGCTCTGCTCCGAGAGGAGAACTGTGTCCCATTATTCGAGGAAACTTTCTCACGCTCGATCTCGTCTCTCGGAGCTTCAGTGATCGCAGCTTCACGAAATACTGTCTCCGACAACTCGATCTTTACCGTATTTCTCATTTAATTCAAATCTCGACGAGTAGCTCGCAAATCCACGCGATTTCGTAGAGAAATCATTGGCTTCTGTTCAGTCGCTCGAGCGATAATAGCCCCTCATTTACTACTATTTATACTTTACGATAACGTCAAATTGATCGATCAGTGACGCACTTTGAGCTTTCTTTCAATGAAGTAAGAACAACCGGGAATGTCGTAATATTGAGAGCATGCAAATACGTTCAATTTGTGTTATAATATACTGTCACGTTCTTAAATCCTTGGTTTCCTTAAAAACTGTGTAGACTCTTGAATACTGAATAAGTACGATTCCAGGAGAAAATGGAACGGCGACGGAAGGTAGAAAAAGCAGGCATTGTCTGTCGCGTAATTAAACGCGACGCGCTCGTTGCTGTAATAAAAGCGACTGACATTAAATCAGACAGAAAGAGAGGCGGAATTACGTTTCGTCAGCAGGCGCCTGCTTATCGTTCGATAGGAAAGGGTTGTTATCGTAGAAAAATATATCTGGGACATTGTGGGTCGACGTGTCGCATACTCGCTACGCAAAATATCATTTTCCCCCGGTTTTGAATTGCGAACTGAGGATGAATCGCGGGGATCTTCTCTTTTTATGCACGGGGGAGGTTGATATCCCTCACTACGCGACAGTCATACGAGATAAACGCTGAATCGTGGAGAAACTGGAAACACGGTTTATCTACTTCAATTGAATTACATTCATAGAAACTCGGGACATTAATCTCTAATGAAAAAAGACGTTGATGTCGCGCGATAATTAATTCCGAGATATCTTACGATCCCTCATTAAGATTTCTATACGGACGGCTCAATGCTCTAATCGGGAATTGTGGATTCGCCGTAATTGGATCACGGTCTGCAGTGCTCTATTATACAGCTCTCTAATAAAGTTTTAAAGAGATCGTATCTCGTGGAAGTCGCTCATATGTAAGAAACATATTGTACATGAAATAGAATGTTCCCAGGAATCACGGAGCTCTCTCGCCTCTCCGCGTTTCTCGATCTCGTTTCTCTACCCTAGCCAGCCCACATTATTATCGTCCGCGGGCGCGTTGCGATCGATTTCCACGTTTTAAAAGGAAACATCAACGGGTTCTTTGTTCGACGTGTGTGCGCGTCCCGCATCGGGCAACGGTTTTTGTCCAACTGACGTCACACGCCGAATTACATCGCGCGAGTTAACAAATTGCCATGGTAATAGCGTAATTCAATTCTCGGCGAGCGTCTGAAATTATTACTTAGATCGTGTCCCCGTGGCAAAGTTGAATCGACGAAATTCCGAGAAGCTGCCAATAAAATTCCCATAGAGGCAACGGATAGGGACAAGGCGCATGTCCACGTCTCGCGTGACAGTTCGCCCATCGCAATTGGAAGGTGGACAATTACGCTAAAAAGAAAATATGAGGAATCCCCTATGGTGGTCACGCAACGCGTAATGATACGTCACCCGTCGCGGCGTGCAAAAACCGAAGGTGGACAACTTCCTAATAGCGTGCTCCGTTTGCACGAATACCCGAGCGAATCCTTTTGTCCATTAGGAACAAAGGCGTGAACTTGCCTTCGTAGACGAACTTGCACAGAAATGATCGCATTGTATTTGACATAATACCCGAAATCGCTATGAATCGTTCGCTCCTTTCATCGGTCGACAAAGAAAATTTAGTCTATAGGAATTCACGCAAGGGAAGTGCAATTTAAGTCCTTATAACTTGTGTTATCTTTCC